GATGTGTATGTTCACCAGTAGTTTGGATGGATTGGGAATTTTAATATCCATGATAAGACCAACACACTTACAGAGGTTCGGTGACAATTACTAACTCCAGATTTCAGAGGTCTCCTTTCCATATAATTAGAACTATACACTATGAACAAGTCATCTAAATTTTCCTAAATATGTAAAAACGAAAGTTACTTAAACTACATATGGTCTATGTAAGCTCTTTGTTGGAACTTTTTTTGCATGAATATGTATGAAAACTTCTCCATGTACACACTTTTTGTTTGTAAATTGTTGCTTTATTTATAAATATGAAGTCATGCTTCTTGATTTCTCTAGCTCTTTATTCTGTTGATCTTTTGATTCTAGATGAGGCGGTCATAATATTCAAATTGTACTTTTCATTTTTCTTAGATTTCTACTACACCTCTATGATCCTCATGAACTACAATAACGTTGTTTTAATTGACACTTTGCTTATGACGTTTGTTTTGTTGACAAAGCTTGATTAGTCACTAATAAGGTGATTCGTCTTAAGGTTTCTGAATAGTATCATAGGTGTTGAGACGTTCCAAAGATCTCTGAGGGTTAACGGATAAGGCAGCATAATGTTAGTGAAATAACACAGAACTTTATAAAGCCTACTGTGCTATTCTCAACATGATTGTGATTGTCAAAGGTTTAGTAGTTTACCATAACTAATTAAAATAATTGTTGGTCAAAGAAAGGAATTTAGCTGATTGAGTGGGACATGCATTTGTGGCAGTTTGACTGCAGTTTGACTGCGTTATATTTTCTCTCTAATCACACTTAGACAAAACGTTGCCTGAGAAGGCTAAAAGAGAGAAAAATCCCGTATGCAAAGTTAGGATGAGTCGGTTTGAGGTGTCAGAAAGTTGTACAACTTCGACATGATAATGTGTAAATAGACACATCATTTCAGGTTAGTTAAAACAATAACTGGGATTGGTAAACGAGGGAGATAAATAAACTTAAAGTCTATGTTACCACAAGATTATCTCAGAGACACTCCGAAAAGTCACGGAATGAATTCTTTGTTGACTGACAATCACTGGATAAATATCAATAAAGACATCCTCTTTCACGTCTACGTATGGAGAAGAATAAAACTGGATAATGACTGGCACAGAATACCTGCAGTCTGACTGGGATGCTCGAAAAAAACGAAGAACCATATTCAAAGCATTAGGTTATAATCCGTACCTGATCCAAAGGATCGCTTTCAGCATCAATGTGTGGAGAAACGGGAAACGGCTTGATCCTTGCATCGACTCAAATGTTTAAGAACATCCAGGGTACGCCTGTTCATTGGGGGTTAATAAAATCTAAGTCTTCACTATATGATCCCAGCAGAGATTAAGCCTTATTGTTTAAGTGTGCTGTTATGTGATATCAGACCGTTGACAATAAGGTCATGTTTGACTGAAATCAAGGTTAGAGCATGAAAAAGTTGGTAGCTGTTGGCAACTTCAGGATTCCAAGTTAGGGTTTGGTGATTTTCTCAATGTATGTCCGAACCACTTGTAACGTCTTCTACGAAGTTCCTCTTCAAATGGAAGCCGGTTTGTCCTCTATTACAGTAGGCTATCGCTGATGGTGTCCGGCCAACGAATATTGAATATCTTGCATAGACAACTGCTTATAAATACTTTTACCTTTTTGGTAATGGTTGTAGTAGATCTCTAGGTTTCGGCTCCCTACAGTAGGATTGTATTGACTTTTGTACTGAAGATTCTGACACTGATATTGGTTGATAGTTGTTTTAAGTCCCATATGTTCTTCAACTGTAGGAATACCGCTTTCGTTGTTCCAATTCTTGTCTTCACATCTCCATCGGATCCTCCTTGCTCATCAATGAGGCTTCCCAGGTGCGTGAAATATTCCACATCTTTCAGAGCTTCTCCATCATGTGTGATTGTGTTGGTGTTCTTGGTGTTGCATTTGAGGATCTTGCTTTTTCCTTTGTGAATATTGGGGCCTGCCAATGCAGAGGTTGCAGCCACACTAGTTGTCTTCATCATTTGTTCGTGTGTATGGAATAGAAGAACCAGGTTATCTATGAAGTTCAAATCTCTTAATTGATTCTGAGCCGTCCATTGTATCCCGTCCTTCCCCTCCGATGTCGATGTCTTCATAATACGGTCGACCACCAGAAGAAAGATGAAGGGGGAGAGTAGATAGCTTTGTCTGAATCCGGTCCGAATTGTGAATTTATCTGTCAGCTGTCTTCCATGCACACCTTTTCACTGTAGTCCAACGTATGAATTCCAGATGATGCTGACGATCTTCTCAGGTACACTATAGTGTCAAAGAAGTTTCTATAAGGTCCTCCTATCCACACTGTCAAACGCCTTCTCATAGTCAATTAGGTTAGTATATAGTGACGAGATCCACTCAACTGATTGTTCGACGATGATCCGTAGTGTGGTCATTTGGTCTGTGCACGACCGATACAAACAGAATCCAGTTTGTTATTCTCAAAGTTGAGCGTCTACTAAATCACCTGTTCGGCTGAGTAATATTATGTCGAGGACTTTTCCTGGTACTCGCAGCATGTTGATCTCAAAGTTGGGTGTCTACCGCGTCTTTCATCCGGTTCATCAACACTCTGTTTCAAACTTTTCATGATACTGACAGTAGTCTGGCTCCTCTGTAATTCTCAAATTTACTCAGATTTCCTTTCTCCGGTATGTTGATGAGGTATCCTTCTTTTCAGTCTGTCGGAAAGTGTTCTTTCTTCCAGATCCTTCTGAATAGAACGTAATAATAACGAAGTAAACCATAATTTTACAAGGCGTCATAAATCTCCCAGGTAAAGATTCCTCAACTCCTAGGTTAGAGCTTAAATTGTTTAAATGATATTTCTGTTTGACACATTTTTAGTAAGGTTGTTTTCTACGGGGTGGGGTTTCTGAACTCATTCCAACTCTCTTTATTCCGTCTTGAGGCCAGCATTAGCCTTAGAAGAGCCATAAGTAGAGTTCTCGGTTCTTTCCTACTTGAGGAAATAAGTACGTGACCAAGCATCCTGCTCGAGTGTTGATAGGGTGAGATCAAAATGAGAAGCAACAACGTATGAGTTCGGGCAAGGAGCCATACTTGACCTTCTGTTGTTCTGCGTGATAATTAGCGGTTTCACACGGTACCATAGTTAACCAGAACCTCGTTACGTGAACGACATCAAATGGTGGACACCTGGCAGATGTGAAAGCTAGTCATAACTTTAGAGAGACGTACTGACGGAAGAATGGACACAAAACGACTACTTGAAATTCAAACTCCAGAAATGTTAAATTATGTCTTTTTTGTCACAAAGAAGCATCAAGTGGATGATTTCAGTGGTCTCCGCCTTTCTAAAATCCCGAAGGATTGTAACTCGGGTTTGATGTTGATGGAGGCCTGGACACTAGCAACAAATAACTGACGGGAGAAGTTGACGCCAAGATAGCCCTCCATTTAGTTTTAAAATACATAAAATATCGTACAGTAAGTATAGGGACGGGCAAAATGTAGACGATATGACGGAAAGACACATCTTATGAGAACAGATTTCGAAACCGGGGACAGTCTTCTCAGAGTCAGGGAGGGATAATGGGTATTTTCGTGATGATGTGGGGTGTACGAAAGGGGCCGATGAAAACACTAATCCAACCTTCTTATTGTACTTTAAAAGCCAACCCATGACGAAGAGAATTTCAAAGAGATTATGCTAAGGCGAAATCGCGAGTACTCCCATGGCGGATAAGTCTAACCTAGAATGCTTTTGGGATCGGCCAAACTAGAGCTCCATAGTGGTGCGTTTCAAGGGAAGAACTGTTGCAACTGGCTTGCTGGTAGACAATGATTATTCATAAGATACTATATTTGGACAGCTTGAGACCAAAACAAGCGAACAACCACACAAAATAAAATTTAACTTTTGATGATTCCAATCCACCTGCAACAGTACAAATCCACAAGAAAAGTCATTTGAATAATGACGATAATGAACATTACTGTTACTTCTAGTCACTATGTCCCTGCCGTCTTTTGCTTCAACCAGTATATAAATATGGACAATTTGACAGAACTCAGAGAGAGTAGACCGACCAAAGCTAGTGAATAAATGCCACAAACTCGAAAGTCAATGCTAATTAACAAGCGTTGATGGTTCAAACACTTCAGCCCTGTCTACAATAGTAGTTAACCACATGTTCATCAACAGTTCACTTTCCTTCGATCATGTAGAAATACGCTTCAGAATTTCAGGAATACCCTCACCTGTTGAATTTTATCCTTCTTCATCATTATTATTAGTAGTAGTAAATCCCTGTACCATTTTATATCTTAGTATCTTTATCCATACATTTATCTACTCATTTGGTCCATTACCTGTTTAGGCTATAGTAGTTTTGTCAACCTTGGCCCTTGTCTTTCCTCTATCTTTTTTATTCTAATTCGAAAATCTTTCACAATACAAGAAATCACTTAGCTCTCCGTTGTTAACTCCAGGTTCGAACAATCCCACTGCTCCATAACAAAATAAGTTGCTTGTAAGTCTTCGACACAGATGATAAGTTTCATGGCTTCGCTGGGTGCGCCCTCGTTGAATGCCGTCGGTTAGGCACCCTCATCAAATCGCGCCTGAGTATGTTGTGCTGTTCATCACTGACAGCAGCTTGCCAGCTTGCATTCTATGCACCACAATACACCAAACTAAAATTCAAATGCATCTATGTATGATACCGTCTTTGACTTCTAATTTGACCGGATTTGTGATCATTGCATAGGAAGAGGTTGTGGAAAGTGGCATAGCTAAACACTATCTCCCATACACCTACAACATATTAACATTCAAATCACTAAAATTAACGCGAACAAATGTCTAAACTCTTCACACTAGAAGGTACCAAAGACCTGAAGCTGTACCTCAACGTGAAGAAATAAGTCCAGAGGAATTAACGGGTTCACATCAATGCCTAACAGAGGTATTGGATATTGTATTCGGGACTTTGGTGACCTTGAAATCGGGTTGACTGTTCAAATGAGTGATACATCTATCCACTTACAATTGAAGTACAATGGTCAGCCGATCACAGTTAATTGTTTATCTTCTGAACACAACGTTTCTGATCTTAAGGAAGAATTGTTCAAATTAACTAGGGTTTTACCGAAAAATCAGAAAATTCTAGGTCTACGGACAACAAACAGTTTGTTCGTACCAGCTTTTAATATTCCTCAACTTCATAGATGATCCTGTTGTCGACTCAACAACATTATCATGCCTTGTGTTAAAACCCGGGACCAAGTTAATGCTTATAGGATCTACCCAGGAGGAAATTGTAAATTGCCTTTAAGTATATGATTTCCGTTAGCTTAAGGTTAATAATACGGAAGATAGTCCTGATGTTGTTGATGATTTCGATTTCAAAGAAGAAGACGTACAACTCTGTAATGTGTAACTCCAGTGAATTTAAAATAAATTTGTAGTGCAGAAAACATAGAGAAAGTTGCAAGACGTTGTAAAGCCTACCGTCCACGAAAATTATGTGAATTCAGAGATGGTAAGAAGTTGCTTGTTCTGGATATAGACTACACGATCTTCGGTAAGCTTTTTTTTATCTTCAAAGACCAATACTAGAACAAGATATTATAATTTCATGTACATCTGGTTAATATGAGTTATTCAGCTTTCACGTAGTCGCCCGTTGATTTTGAGGGACAGCTCTGTGCTTTTAAGAGAAATCTAATGTAATGCACTTTTGAAATGAAAAAGAAATCTTATGATCTCTTTTTTTGACTTTACAATAGTCTCATAATTTTAAAATCATGTGCGATCAAGATAATCAGGATAACTACGAATACAGTTGATATTTCTGCTAAAACTTAAATTAGTGCCCACAATCAATTCAAACTTACGCATTTCAATAATACTATCAGACATCGTCAACCGTTCGTTGATAAAACGTTCTTACTGGTTTGTAGCGAGGATTAAACATTGGAGGTTCTTCTTTGAAGTGATAAAAAGATTTGTTTTCAAAGTCTAATTTAGAATACTTTAATTCATCAATACCTAAAGGCACAATTTTAGTGTCACAATCACCAAAAGAACCATCATCATTCATCTTATTGTCTCTAAAAGTGATATTTTCATGAGAAAAAATTGGGTAACTAAACGTGGCTCTGAATTTCTTTGTAAAACTAAACTATATCTTGTCCTGCAGGCGATTATGTAAATATCGCGACGAAACAATCATAACTGTAGTTAGTTTGTAATTCCACTGCACTACATTAAGTTCGTGATGTAACTTTCTGATATATCCAGTCTACTGTGTAAACAGGGGAAGAGATTTTGCAGCCTAATAACAGATCCGATGCCAATCCAATAAGTACTTGAATTTAGATTGAAACAAATTGGTGAGGCAGGATTATTCTATGAAACATCAAGTGAAATTGGTATAAGTTAATTCGCTGTTGACAGATCTTACTGTTTTTTACCTAGATAAGTAGGCTAAGTTTACTTTCACAACGGCAAAACGTGTCCAACCTGTTTCGCCTCTAACTGCATGTCATTGTAAGCAGCTGGTTTCTCATGAGATGATCCCTGAGTCAGAATCTTTGTGCTTGACAACTTACGAATGTCAGATAGTTATTTATCATTGTTCTAATTCCAAATTGTTACCGTTTTAACTCAATATCTGCTTACTTATCAAAGTAAGTTGGTGAATCGAACCAATTTGTTTTTACTAATAACGTCATTTCCCAATAAATCATAAACTACATTTTGCGTTTGTCTAAATAGATCATCTTACACCAGCCGAATCAGTGCATCAGTTGGCTCGTCCTCATTTAATAGAATTTCTAACACGTGCATATGTTTATTATGATATCGCAATATGGTCTGCTACGAGTATGACATGGATTCTGGCAAAATTAGGTCAGCTAGGTATTATACCATTACATGTAGCCAAAACATTTCAGCATCGAAATAATACAAGTGATGGTACAAGTTCTACAAATAACAATTCAGTGCTCTCGGAAGATTTGAATACAACTGATGATCAGTACAATAAGTCGTTCCGAATAGCTCTAATTCTCGACTCCTCGGATATGATTAGTGTCAACTTTACTGAACATGGTATCAAAGAAGTAAGTGTCTCAATTTTTTTAATAATTTCAGTTAGCTACTAAAGTAGTTGATCCTCCATCTCACTCTTCGTTTACTAACTACTGACTTTTAACGTGCTTCTGTTTGACGTAGTTTGATAATATTTATTTATTTAAGCACATAAATATTGGTACAAAGGGCATCAGATACATATGCGCCACACAAATCTCATTCGATTTGTGTGAGGGCTGTGATACTACCCAGGCGCCCAAACTGAAGCAGGTGGTTTTCTTAGGGGGCCACACCCGGAGCCTTTGACCTTAAGATCTGATCCATAACGCAGTGGAGCATCGTAAGGAGATGCAGTCCCATGGTAGCCGGTGACCAATCATTGATTCTACGCCATTTATTCCCTTGGGATACTGGAGCTAGCCCACGTACACCATTGGTTTGGAATCAGGGTTTTCCAACTCCTATAGGTAAACACTCCACATCCACGAACCCGGTTGAAGCGTCGGACATTCGCTTTTCGTTCTCTCAATTTCGAAAACAACAGTAATGTCACGAGAAGACAGTGAGTAGGACTTTCCTGGCAGAGGCTATATATGCGTGGCCATGTGAGATCATTTTGAGAGGGAGAGCAGACTTCCCACTCTCGGTCGTACCAGGGCATTTGGGGGCGGACATTTTAGCAATTGCAGCTTCTAGCTTCGTGCATAGGTCTTCATCTGAACTTTTTGTCCTTTATTTTGAAATATCTATTTTGTACAGATCGATTTTCGGGTTACAATTCAAACCCATTTTCCATTATTTTAAACACATGAGTAGTTTATTTAAATATTACAATATTCGAGCTTTATAGACACATGATAAATAAATGCTTGTTCATTTACTGGATAATATGTGATTTCCTGTCACTCATTCAGTAACTTATGTCAATCTATGTGCGGTCTGAAGATAGAGGTAGTCTATTGTTAGCTAAAACACTAAAAATAACCCAAAATTCACTTCCAAAAGTGTATCATTTAAAATAAAAAGAACTATTGACGACCGTTTGTGAACTAATTCTTGATGTGTACTAGTTGACTTTCTTTCCTAAAAGCGCTGTAACTGGACATTTCTGGCAAATAAAGTTTCCTACAGAGAATAATCACATATTTACTTATTAGTCAAATTACTGTATATTTTGTTAGACAAATACTCTTAGATCAAATACATTTCAAAAAGCTCATGGCCTGTAACATGAATAAAATAAGAAATCGGAGTCCAGTAGATTATTTCCACTTGTATTTTCCAACTCTCATTTATCTTATGCATAATAAGCTTAATATTTGTGTTAAACAAAAAATTATTTATCTAGGTTTTTCAAGCTACTTTCCGTTCAATACATATTTTAAACACCAATATTGAATACTGTTGTCAATCCTAGAACATTCAAAACACATACTTTGCATGTGCACTGGTACGGAGAGAGTCTGCTCTCTCTCTCCCGACCGTTGCTGCTACCTTGACGTGGTGGTCGGGCTTGTCTATCGTGAGGAAGCAATCGAGCTATACTGGCTTGAACAATCGTTCCTCGAGGTCCTACCATGCCAGGCAGGTCGGTTGAAGAGCGGTGAAACTAAAAGCAGCAAACCCAAGGTCCGAAGGCGAAGTCGTACTGTCGACTGTACAGAGGTGTGACGGCAGTAAGGTGTTTCCTTTAGACAACCAGCATGACAGCGATGCTGCCTTCCCACAAGGAGGGGTGGGGTTAGAAAAGGTCGACCCTAAAAATGCACACCTCGCCTTATCCCACGGATTTCCGTCTCCGGCGGTAAGGTCCTTTGAAGAACGGAGCTAACACAAAAACTACCCACTAAAAGGTCGTGTGTGACCGACCTCAAGCAGTTGTCCTTTGGGCACTGCGGTCACGCTCTCAGGTCATTAAGACCACTTCTAACCCAATTTCCTTTTCAGGTACCTCTAGAAGAACTCTTCCATGGTGTGGGCAACCGGGAAGTGATAACTGCCCTCATACCTCTAACAGCACTCAAGACCACTGTATTCATAATCAATCTCCTTCTTCAATTCCTACTATTCCTTCTACCTTGACTTTCAACACTAAACTTCCTGTTCCGGTTTCCTCCTCAAGTGTCACCATGGCCAACGATTCTAGTGCGCGAAACGCTGTCCCAGGTCTACTAAAACCGCTCCAAACTACACATTGGAGCCTTCAACGTACGTACTTTAAGTCGAATCGGTCAACAGGCCTCCTTAGCTAAAACCCTAGAATCTCGCACGATTGATGTATGCTGTGTCTCCGAAACACACATACAGGATCCTAGTATGGTCATTCACTTGACCTCACCTCGCCAAAATGGACAGCCAATGAAATACACCCTCCGTGTATCTGGCGACCCGTTTGCTAGTTCTCGTGGACTTGCAGGTGTAGGCATAGCACTAAGTATAAGGGCAGAACAGGTACTATTAGAATGGATCCCCGTTAACAGTCGCCTGTGTGCTGTCCGGCTAAATGGCTCCGTAAGAACTCGGAAGGATAGGGACATACGTCGTTGCCTTTTCGTCGTTCCTGCCTACGCTCCCACTGACTGCAGCCATGATGAAGTAAAAGATGACTTTTACAGAAAACTCTCTGAGCTTCTTCAGAAAGCTAAGCGCTCAGACATAGTAGTCGTAGCGGGTGACTTTAATGCCCAGGTAGGCAGCTTAAATCAAACAGAAAGACATTTAGGTGGGTGTTTTAGTATTCCGGCTCAACGAACCGATAATGGTGATCGTCTGTTGCAACTATGCTCAGACAATCGTTTATTTTTAGCAAGCACTAATTTTAAGCATAAGGAGAGACATCGTCTAACATGGCGACCACCTGCACCAAACCAACGATGGACTCAAATATACCATATTGTTATCAGTCATCGTTGGAGAGGCTCAATAGAAGATTGTCGCTCGTATTGGAATACTTATTTAGACTCTGATCACGCTTTGATACGAGCGCGCATTTGTCTGCGCCTCAATGGACGCAGGAAAAGTACACTAAGAAGACCCATTAGGTTTGAACTGGAGGACGAGAAAGCCAAATGCGAATTCCAGAAACAACTGAGTTCACATCTAGGCAGTTCTGTAAACGAGACTGACCCAGATGCTGCTTGGAAAGACACACGAACAGCTGTGGAAACGGCAGTAACATCTATTAGTCATTTAAATCATAGGGCTCCAAAAAACCAGTGGATTTCTTCTAAGTCTATTTCACTGATGGATTCGCGTAAACTCATCCCATCAGGCTCTGAACACGACGAAGAGCGTAAACAAATTAGATCTAGGTTGACTAAAAGTCTAAGGAACGATCGTGAGCAGTGGTGGGCAACGAAAGCAAAAGAGATGGAAAAGGCAGCGGCTGTAGGCAACACCAGGCAACTATTCAGACTAATAAAAGAAACCGGAATTAAGAAGTCAAGTGTAAGTGAAACACTCGGAAAAAGACGGAACCCTTATCTGCTCTCAACCCAAACGTTTAGAACGATGGGCTGAACACTTTAAGGAGCAGTTTAGCTGTCCTTCAGCTACTGCACAACTACCCACTATTCCCAGAAAACCTGAATGGAACATTGAAGTTGGTCCTCCGACCCTACTTGAAGTTCAAAAGGCTATAAGTAATCTGAAACGAGGAAGAGCAGCTGGTCCAGATGGATTGGCTCCAGAGGTCTTTAAATATGGTGGTCCAATTTTAGCGATTAGGCTGACTAATATTCTAGCTAAAATCTGGGAAACGGACGCAATCCCATCTGACTGGTCACAATCTCTGATTGTCCCAATATATAAGAAGGGGTCAAAATCATCCTGCGATAACCATAGAGGGATTAGTCTGACCAACATAGCATTTAAAATACTAGCCTCAATAATTATCGGGCGCCTAACTAAGACTCGTGAACTGCAAACACGAGAAAATCAGGCTGGCTTCAGACCTGGTCGTGGCTGTATCGACCACATATTCACCATTCGTCAAGTTTTAGAGCACAGACATGCTTATCGGCGTCCGACAATGTTAGTTTTTCTTGACTTGAAAGCAGCATTTGACTCTGTAGACCGAGAGGTTCTGTGGTAGTGTCTGTCATTGAAAGGTGTACCTGAGAAGTACATAAACCTTGTGAAGGCTCTTTACTCAAATACTACCAGTCGAGTGAGAGCTTATGGCGAACTGTCATATGATTTTACAACCTCAAGTGGTGTCCGATAAGACTGTCCACTATCCCCATTTTTGTTTAACTTCATTATAGACCTGTTGCTGGAAATAACACTCTTCGACTGAATCTACAGGAATTGATCTCCTACCAGGGGGACCACTAAGCGACTTAGAATACGCAGATGACATAGTCCTGTTTGGTGAAAACGCTGACAAAATGCAGAGTCTTCTGTTAGAACTCAGTAATAATGCCAGGATGTTTGGGATGCGTTTCTCCCCATCCAAATGTATATTGTTACTCCAGGACTGGCCTGCGTCAACACCTGAACTAAGGATAGGGAGTGAAGTAGTCGAACGCGTCGACAACTTCACTTATCTTGGAAGTCTGTTCAGCCCTAATGGGTTGGTGTCTGATGAAATCTCAGTACGGATTCAAAAATCTCGTTTGGCTTTTGCCAACTTACGTCACCTATGGCGAAGACGAGATATCCGTCTATCAATTAAGGGACGAGTATACTGCACAGCAGTTCGCTCTGTTCTACTTTACGGTTGTGAAACATGGACATTAAGAGTAGAAGATACTCGTAAGTTACTAGTATTTGACCACAGATGCCTTAGAAATATTGCTCGCATCTGCTGGGATCACCGGGTAAGTAATAGTGACGTTAGACATCGGGTATTAGGAAATGATGGTAAATCAGTTGATGAGGTGATGAATCTTCATCGACTGAGATGGTTGGGCCACGTGTTAAGTATGCCTGAACACCGATTATCACAACGCGCAATGCTGACTGGTGTTGGGGATGGTTGAAAGAAAGTTAGTGGAGGCCAAACCAAAACGTGGCATCAGAGCTTGAAATCACTAACTTTTAGTCTGAGCCATGTTGGTAGATGCAGACTACTTGGTTGGGGTCCGCGTGACTAGTGTAACCAATGGTTGGAGACTCTGTGTGACATGGCTCAGAATCGACCAGAATGGAGCAGGTGTACACACTCTTTATCTTCCCTTAAACCTTGAGATTAGAATTGCTCCAGATCTGTCTTCCTTCCTATACTATATCCTCATATACAATCTTTCTTTTATATATTACCACCACTAAATTAACTACTTCTATGAATCCGGTGTTCATCTTGTTGTGCTAACGAGGTATGGCAATTTGGACCGATGCATAAATGTGCGTGGTCCTACGTTCTCGTTGACTGACTCTCTCTCTCGAAATGCTCTCACATGGCCATTCTTATACGGCCATTGCCAGGGGAAACTTACTCACTGCCTCCTCGCGTCGGCGGTTTTGTTTATGAGATTGGTAACACGAAAAGCGAGTGTCTGGCGCTCTAACCGGGATTGGTAGGTATTGAAGACTCACCTAGGAGAGTTGGAAAACCCTGATTCCAAACAAATAGTGTACATAAGCCACAGAATCCTAAAGTAAAAAAAGGTGTATGAACTTGTTGTTGGTCACTGGCTACCATGGGACTTCACCCCCTAACATTGCTCTACTGCCTTTTGGATTAGACCTCTGGGTGGAAGGCCCGGGGTGTGGCTCCCTACGAAAACCATTAGCTTCGATCTGGACGTTCGAACAATATTCCAGCCTTCACACAAATCGAATGATGAGGTGTGGTGCATACATATTGGTGCATCCTTGTACCAATGTTTGTATATTTAGATAAACAAATAAATCTGACACATAAACTCATGTATTCATCCGTTACATCTTGAACTCTGGACTGTACAATATGATATTATGTATATAATGTCTGAGTCACTTATTATGTGTGATGATTAGTTTATTTATTTATTTAAACACATATATATTGGTACAAGGAAGCACCAGATACATATGCGCCGCACAAATTTCATTTGATTTGTGTGGGGCTGTGATACTGCTCGGGTGCCCCAACCGAAGCAGGTTGTTTTCTTAGGGGGCCACAACCGGAGCTTTTGACCTGAAGGTCTAGTCCACAAGGCAGTGGAGCATCGTGAGGAGATGCAGTCCCATGGTAGCCGGTGACCAACAGCAGATTCATTCGCCATTCGTTCCTTCAGGATACTGGAGCTAGCCCACGTACACCATTGGTTTGGAATGAGGGTTTTCCAACTCCCCTAGGTGGAATTTCCGTGTCCACCAACGCGGTTAAAGCACTGGACATTCGCTTTTCATTGGTAAAATTAATCAGTTACAGTTGTCAAAATGCAAACTCACCAGTGTTTTCGTTTAAAGTCGGTTGTTTTAACCACTAAATCACTGTCTATTTTTAGTAAACAGACTAGTGATTATTTTTGATTGAAATGATAACTGTACTATTACTCCTTGAGTAAGTAAGAATTGTGTTGATAGACTGGATTATGAGGACTTCGACATCTGAGGGGAAACACGGAATACAATGGACATCTCAGAATCAATTAGATGATTTGGACTTCGCATATGACTCAGCCCTCCTATCTCATACACATGAACAAATACAGATAAAGACAACAAATGTAGCAGCAGCCTCTGCATCAATAGGACTCAATATTCACAAAGGAAAAAGCAAGATTCTCAAATACAACACGAAGAACACCAACCCAATCACAATTGATGGAGAAACTCTGGGAGAGATGGAAACATTCAAGTACCTGGGAAGCATCGTTGATAAACAAGGAGGATCTGGTGCGGATGTAAAAGCGTGGATTGGCAAAGCAAGGGCAGTATTTCTACAATCGAAGAACATATGAAACTCAAAACAACTCTCAACTAACTTCGAAGTGAGAATCTTCAATACGAACGTGAAGACAGTCCTACTGTACGGATCTGAAACGTGGAGAACTACTAAATTCATCATCAGGAAGGTACAAGTATTTATAAACAGGTGTTTACGCAAAATACTCAACATTAACTGGCTGAATACTATCAGCAACAGCGTTTTCTGGGAGAGGACAAACCAGCTTCCATCTGAAGTGGAAATTAGGAAAAGACGTTGGAAGTGGATAGGACATACATTGATAAAATCACCAAAATGCATCAGGAGGCAAACCGTAACTTGGAATCCGGAAGGGAAAAGGAAAAGAGGAAGACCAAGGGATACATGATGCCGGGAAATAGAAGCAGATATGAAAAGAATGAATAACAACTGGAAAGGATTGCCCAAGACAGAGTTGGATGGAAAATGCTGGTGAGCGGCCTATACTCCTCCACGAGGGGTAACAAACGTAAGTAATGAGTAATGTAGTAATAATGCAAATGTTGCTGTTTCAGTAGGATTTTTTTTAAATGTTTTGCAATAAATAGACCGATTACCACACAGGAATACATAGAAATGTAAATATATTGTAATTATTGCATTATTTTAGGTTAAACCCTTAGCTGTTATATGGAATAATCACCCTCAATGGGGACCGCATAACACAATTATGTTTGATGATGTCCGTAGGAATTTTATCATGAATCCACAAAGTGGGTTAAGGGTGAGTTGATCTTGTTTTCTCTGTTTTTGGCTCAATATATCGCAAGGATAAGAATGTATGTACAAAAAAGCGATTATATGAGATTACTGATATGATGGGAGGATAAAAAATACTTTTGGTGTAATGCATCATACAACTATAATACGACTAGTGACCGAGATTACGCTACCACTGTTGCGAATGAGAACACAGGTGAGGACAACCAACTATGTATTTAGCACAAATTACAACGTTACTTGGTAAAATACAAAAACCATGCTATGATACACTATTTGCAAAATGTTCTTCAATTTCCTCAGGCTTCATTGTTGCTGGATTTCCACACAAATTGCTTTTTATTTCTGTTCTTCCCTTCTTGATCTTCTCAATCTTCTGCTGTCAGATATTCTATTCCTTACTCACCATATATACTACTTATGTCGTTATCAGTAGCTCACACCACACCACTACATTGGATACTCGATTGATAAGCTATACGCAGATTGGGTCATGTTATAACAGATACACGATCCACGGCTGAATACCGAGAATCAGAGAATAGAATAGTCAGTAATCTACTCCACGCGATTACAACCACAGTGAGTCCAGAGTAGAAGTTGATAATAGGAGAAAAAATCACAATTAATAGTTAGTAGGTCAAGTATTTTTCAGTCCACGCTCATCAACCGACCATATTTACTTTCACTGACCATACGTCTTTTAGTTACGTAATAAAAAAACAGACAGATATCAACATAGGGCCTGGCACAAATGTGCATAAGCCGAATTTGCTATACCTGATTTCCACAACGAGAATAACAAAAGAGGTCGAAATAATTGTAGTAGCAGTGATAAAAAAGTCAGACTAAATTTTGGGAATATGGTTCGGAATAAAACAAAGAATGGAAAGATATTCATGAAAGGATCCTGAAATTCACGTTACATAACTCAGTCTTCAACAACTCAGTTGTTGGGAATTTCATCACTTCTACTAGATTTGCAGATAAGGAAATCCCAGAATCAATGTAAGTGATAGTTTATTGATTAAGGCGTTCAACTTTCAACTACTAGGTTGTAGTGTTGAATCTTGCTGCACTTACTTAAAACTGGGCAATCGGATAGTACAATCAGTCAGCGAGAACGTAGGACCACGCACATTTATGCATCGGTCCAAGTTGCCATACCTCGTTAGCACAACAAGATGAACACCGGATTCATAGAAGTAGTTAATTTAGTGGTGGTAATATATAAAAGAAAGATTGTATATGAGGATATAGTATAGGAAGGAAGACAGATCTGGAGCAATTCTAATCTCAAGGTTTAAGGGAAGATAAAGAGTGTGTACACCTGCTCCATTCTGGTCGATTCTGAGCCATGTCACACAGAGTCTCCAACCATTGGTTACACTAGTCACGCGGACCCCAACCAAGTAGTCTGCATCTACCAACATGGCTCAGACTAAAAGTTAGTGATTTCAAGCTCTGATGCCACGTTTTGGTTTGGCCTCCACTAACTTTCTTTCAACCATCCCCAACACCAGTCAGCATTGCGCGTTGTGATAATCGGTGTTCAGGCATACTTAACACGTGGCCCAACCATCTCAGTCGATGAAGATTCATCACCTCATCAACTGATTTACCATCATTTCCTAATACCCGATGTCTAACGTCACTATTACTTACCTGATGATCCCAGCAGATGCGAGCAATATTTCTAAGGCATCTGTGGTCAAATACTAGTAACTTACGAGTATCTTCTACTCTTAATGTCCATGTTTCACAACCGTAAAGTAGAACAGAGCGAACTGCTGTGCAGTATACTCGTCCCTTAATTGATAGACGGATATCTCGTCTTCGCCATAGGTGACGTAAGTTGGAAAAGCCAAACGAACTTTTTGAATCCATAGTACACTACTTCTTACACCTAGGGTATCATCACTTGAAGCCAAAGACTTTAATCAGTACCTTGTAAATAAGTGATTACTATAAGAACAGTTAAATTCATTTTAGTATTGTTGGTTTTTATCTTCCCATCGATGTGTTAGGACTGCAACTGGTCAGTCTTTAATTGGCATATGTGAATACTGTGCGTATTTCCTCGATATAGTCTTAATTCACAATCATTAGAGACATACCAGTTGCAGTCCTAACACATCAATGGGAAGATTCAAACCAACAATACTAAAATGAATTTAAACTTCACCTCATTGCACATGCAAGTGGCTATCACGACTCAATAGCTGAGTGAATAACGTGATGACGTTTGAAGCGAAAAGTACTAGATTTGAGTCCCAGAGTGAATATCAACTCCAAGATGCAGATCCATCCAATTGATGAGTCCCAAATAGGACAAAACACGCTTTAAGTTGGATTTCACTGCTAGCCACTATCCATCTCTGCTTATAATAAAAGTTGTTGTCTTTTATTCACTTATTATATATATATATATATTTGCTATTCATATCATTTCATCTTTAATATTGTTCTCATAGATTCGATCATATCGTGATGCTCATGTAAATTGTTCTCATGATCATGAATTATTACATTTAATTAAATATTTAGAATTAATTGCTTTAAATGAACAAGATTTCACACAATTAAATCATAATCATTGGTATCATTATGTACATAAACATCGTAAACAATTAGAAATATTAAAAATTAAACAAAAAAAACAATTAAAACTATATCAAAACAATGAAACAATAACTGATCAATCATATGTTGTACAATCATCTATTTCATTTTCATCCTCTTCTCAATCATCCATTTGTATATCTACAATCAATAACAATAATAATGTTGTTTCTGTTCCAATCATATCTTTGTCATATACAGTACATGAACCAATAGAATCTTCATCAAATTCTTTGTCTACCAATCTTACATCATTGACAACTAACAATACTACTACTACTACTACTACTACTACTACTACTACTAGTAGTGGCCAAAAACGTGTACATGACAAAAATCCCGATGATGATGATAATAATAATAATAATGATGATGATGATGATATCATTCATGATGATAACAATCATTGTGTTAAAGGAAAGAATTAATACTTCTCAAAGAGAATACTAATATAATATAAATAGAAAATTCTTTTATATACTCTGTAATGGAAGGTAACTTTTTCTCATATTCTGATGGTGATGATGATCAGATGTTTTCATTTACTTGCTTAATTCAAACAAACAAAACGAAGAGAAAACATATGAGTTTGAATTTTTATTCCCCGTTTATTGTAATTATCATTTATGCATATATTTATATTTATTAGTTAATCTTATGGAATGTTTTGTCATTCATTCTTGGTTTAGGTAAATTAGCCTCCAAATGCTCTCACATAGCCACGCGTATATAGTCTTTGCCAGGTAAGTCCTACTCACTGTCTTCTCGTACCACAGGTGTTGTTGACGAAATTGAGAAGACGAAAATTGAATGTCCGACGCTTTAACCGTGTCGGTGGACACGGAATGTTCACCGAGAGGAGTTGGAAAATCTTGATTCCAAACCAATGGTGCACATGGGCTCCAGTATCCTAAGGGAATAAATGGCGTATGAATCAATCGTTGGTCACCGGCTACCATGGGACTGCATCTCCTCACGATGCTCCACTGCCTTGTTGTTCAGGTCAAAGGCTCCGGGTGTGGTCCCCTAAGAAAACCACCTGCTTCGGTTAGAGCACCCGAGCATTATCACAGCCCCCACACAAATCAAATGAGATTTGTTCGGCGCATATATATCTGGTGCCCGTTTGTACCAATATTTATGTGTTTAAATAAATAAATAAAATGGGTAAACTAGGTATATATATCTTTTCACATTTTACTTTTGGTTTACTGGTTGGTTTAGAATAGGAGTTTCAAGCAAAAAAGGGAAGTTCTTAGTAAATGAATGATTTCCTTGCTGTGTTATTTTTGTTGGATAGTTACTTGGTTACGCCTGTTACCCCTCGTGGAAGAGTAAAGGCCTCATACCAGTTTTTCCATCCAACCCTGTCTTGGGCAATCCTTTCCAGTTGTTATTCATTCTTTTCATATCTGCTTCTATTTCCCGGCGTCATGTATCCCTTGGTCTTCCTCTTTTCCTTTTCCCTTCCGGATTCCAAGTTACGGTTTGCCTCCTGATGCATTTTGGTGATTTTATCAATGTATGTCCTATCCACTTCCAACGTCTTTTCCTAATTTCCACTTCAGATGGAAGCTGGTTTGTCCTCTCCCAGAAAACGCTGTTGCTGATAGTATTCAGCCAGTTAATGTTGAGTATTTTGCGTAAACACCTGTTTATAAATACTTGTACCTTCCTGATGATGAATTTAGTAGTTCTCCACGTTTCAGATCCGTACAGTTGGACTGTTTTCACGTTCGTATTGAAGATTCTCACTTCGAAGTTAGTTGAGAGTTGTTTTGAGTTTCATATGTTCTTCGATTGTAGAAATACTGCCCTTGCTTTGCCAATCCTTGCCTTTCCATCTGCATCAGATCCTTCTTGTTCATCAATGATGCCTCCCAGGCACGTAAATGTTTCTACGTCTTCCAGAGTTTCTCCATCAAGTGTGACTAGGTCGGTGTTCTCCCTGTTGTTGTTGGATAGTTAGTGTATTTATTATAACGAAATAAATTTGACGCAAGAATTGTATGAATTGTGAGATATAAGATTGTTATAAACGCAAGTATGCCGTCGCTAATTGTTATAAACGTAAAAGAGAGGATGCTGGTTATAACAGTAGGGGTTCTTGTTATAACAGCCCTTTTACTTCTTACACGTATGTGGGACGTTAATTTATCTTAGACGAATATCTACACTAGATTCCCACCCAGTGTCTATTCTACAGGACTTCAACAGAACTCAGATCAAGAACACGAGATTAGCCTAACTATAACGTCAATATATTTCCACACGAAAATCCGACACAAAGAACACTCAATCAATAAGTTTCCATCAACAAGAAACAGTCAATACATAATAAGGATAGGGGAATATATATAACACCTGTCATCCCCTCTAATGTCTGACTCATCGAGACAACCAATCATTATCATTCTCGCCGACACATCAAAGATCAATCACTCGACTTGATTGTGGTCAAGCGATGGTAATTGTTCAATAACTCTGAGTTATTGATACAAAGCTCTGCAGTCCAGTAAAAGAATATCAAAAAACCATGACTAGTCATCAAAATATGAGCCATTTTATACAATAAAGTATTACGGCACAAAATATTTTACATGAAATAAGTTTAATGAAATTGATTTGACTCTTAAGTGATTATTGAGCTGTCAGGTTTTGTAGATCATTCATCAACTTATGAAATTAAAACACGACAGGTTTACTTATCACCTATTACATCACTCTGATAACGGGTTCGCGATCAAAAAATGACACGCATCTGTTAACTTATTATGAACTTATTCAATGATATGGAAGGTCAGTTATGACCCGATTAGCTTACTTATGATGTTTCTCAATGTGACAGAAAGGATCAGTTCACACAAGATACTAGATATTCATAGATCAAACAGAAAAGGTTTCTGCAGATTGGCTACAATCGATTTATAGCTGGACGTTTTCTCCTCCTATATTCAGTACACCGTAGCCTTGGGATAACAGCAGTTAATGGTCGGTTACCGACAGGAACTGATTTACCATTGAGAACTCAACATTTTATTATGTTGATTTATGAAATAAGATTTTCCCTATCTCCCATGCTGATTGATGGAGTGTGCGAACATGGACATACCATGTTCCTTTGCTCATATATCATCTTAAAGTCAAGTAGTAGATGAAAAACTGTATGTGAGACACTATTTGAAGAATTTGGTCAAGTAATTCGCCAAGATCCCTGCCTACACATTATTGTCTAGGTCACCAGGACAATCGTATGTATGTGGTGTTTGGTATTTATGTTGACAGATATAAGAAGTATGTAGCACCAATGGAAAGTGGAAAGCCTGTTGGCATAAGATTGAAATGAAGAGAATAGGAATGCACTGTAATTTCGCATTGAATAATAAATTAGTTTTCCTTCATTGCACATATATCAATGGCTTGGGTTGATTATAATGTGGTTTGATAATTAAAACATCGTGCCACTTTCAGTTTTCTCATTGGCAAAATAGGTGTTACACACAAACCAACAAAGTCACTGCAATCAATCTTATACAAACCATAAATGACAGGGTGAAAAGATATTCATCAAGGGATACTGAAATTCACGTTACATAACTTTGTCTTAGCAACTCCGTTGTTGAGTTCATCACTTCTACTAGATTTGCAGATAAGGAAATCCCAGCATCAATGTAAGTGATAGTTCAGTGATTAAGACATTCAGCTACTAGGTCGTAGTGTCGAATCTTGCTGAATTTACTTAGAACTTCTGTTACTATATCGTCTAAATTGCCATTCCACTGGATAATTTGTTGTATTTTTGACTATTTTCTTATTGTGATTTTAAATTGGTTAAAATCTAAATTGCTTCGCTTTTTACTAGATAACGATAGTTGTTTGGATTCTCAGACTAGGTTTCGATGTTTTTGAGACATAATATGCCTTTGAAGGGTGAAAGATAATCGTATTCATTGCCTGTTGTTATCGTAGAAATTCACGCTGTCATATAACGAACACTTCATATGATTACTCAATCAATTTTATGTGCAAAAGTGACAAATCGGTTGATGAGTTTGTGAGCCTCTATCTATTGAGTTTGAACATGTGTTAGGTAACCTCAGCCCCCAAATGCCCTGGTACGGCTGAGAGTGGGTAGATTCCGCTCTCCCTCTCGAAGTACTCTCACATGGCCACGCGTATATAGCCTCTGCCAGGGAAGTCCTACTCACTGCCTTCTCGCCACAGGGGCGTCGTTTACGAAACTGAGAGGACGAATGTCCGGTTCTTTAACCAGGTTGGTGGACACGGAAAGTCCACCTAGGGGAGTTGGGAAATCCTGATTCCAAACTATTGGTGCACATGGGCTCCAGCGTCCTGAGGGAAAAATGCAGTGTCAACCTACTTTTAGTCACAGGCTACCATGGGACTGAATCTCCTGACGATGCTCCACTGCCTTGTGGATCAGATCTTAAGGTCAAAGGCTCTGAGTGTGGCCCCCTAAGAATACCACGTGCTTCAGTTTGGGCACATGGGCAGTATCACAGTCCTCACACAAATCGAATGAGATTTGTGTGGCGCATATATATCTGGTGCCTCTTTGAACCAATATTTACGTGTTTAAATAAATAGGTAACCCCAACCACCGCCAGTCTTGACGTGTTTAGTTTTCATTTTCCCTTTCATCATGAACATCAATGTAACTTCAACTCGTTTTCTATTCAGAGTGGACTGCTTCTTGGTATATTGATACTCCTTTGTTCGAGGTTGGACATTTGCCCTGGACGAGTGAAGTGGTTCAGTCAACTCCCTTGAATACTGCATTTATAGTCAGATTAGGTATTGAGACCGATTTATCCTGAAGAGACGTTTTACATTTAAAATAGAGGGAAACATGTTTCAGACATTCCTGTTTGCGTTTTCGTACATGATGACTTTTCACTGCTGCAACTTAACGGAAAACTTGTGTGAATACTTGTAATAACTGAAGGAAAACTGACACTTAATACTTGTTATAACTGGATAAAGTGATATGGCTCTACTCAAGAAAGAAGGAAAGACTGAAGATGAGTTTGTTATACATCAACAGTCAGATCCACAAGTGAGAAATTACGCTGAGTTATGTACTATTTAATTACCTGGCCATCGATTAAGTTCGAACATGGTTATATGAAATATAGTAATTGTAAAATATTAGCCGCTGACTTCTCTCCGAACTGAAGGCTAAGTTCAGAGAAAGGCTTGTGTTAACTCAGGGTTAGTTGTGCCGGCCTTAACTTATCATTGCTTAAGGCTTAGTACGCTAGGCTACAGTTGAAATAGCAGATGTAAAGTAGGCAAATTCTGTTTGACGAATTTAGTATATTTTTGTGGCCCTACGTATTTGACTCGTTAGACCGTTTGCTGAATGTTATCGAAATATACATGCCACCAATCCTTGTACATACTCATCGACTTAAATAGCGAAACTAAATAAGTCAAATACGAGAATAAGGTTTGAATACGCATATTTTGTACACTAATTGACGTGAACAGACAATCACGGAGACGAAGCGAAACGGATCTGGGATGACATATGAGCAAAATCGTTTTAATCAAGTGTGACTCGATATTTATTATCAAATAAAAGTGATTAACACACATACAATCATAAAAAAACATTTTGAACTGATAGGTGACGGTAAAAATGTGATTTGAGAAGAATAAATAGATTGATCTGTCCAGAGACCTAGAATAATATATGTGGGCTTGAAATTGATATGAGCCCCTACAACATGATATCGACTAGCGTCGCACAGACAATAGAATTCATTAAGCTAACCATGAATTAACATAAATTAATCAATATCGTAAAACTGGAAAGGATTGCCCAGGACATGGTAGGATGGAGAATGCTGGTGTGCGACCTATGCTCCTCCACGAGGGGTAACAGTTGTAAGTAAATAAGTAATCAATATCGTAATAAATATATAAAATTGACAACGTCAATATAACTAAATCACTGAATTACATATTGACTCTCTCGTAACATTTAGTGCAATGACAATTTAATGGGTAGATCAGGTCAAGTAGAATCCTTGAATCACTTACCACAACGAATATCTATTAGAATGGTAATCAGCGCCTAATTTAATTATTATTCAGTATTTTTAATAGTTGAATTCATAAGTCGATTGAACCTAGACCACCACTGAAAACCTGGAATCACTGGACGGCCGCTTCGTCCTAGTACAGGACTCACTAGTGACTGGTTTCATGAAGTGTTTCTTGGAGTTCTAGTGAGAAACCGTGTTCAGTGGAGTTCAAGCAAGTCTGTTGTACAGAAAATTACTTATTAAAGGCAATGGTGGATAGTCGCACAATATCGTGAATTAGTTTAAACTAGACATTAACACCGTTGGGCTTATACACAGTGGAACGGTAGTCGTGTATCTACTGTCACTGTCCTAAGATCCTTTCTAATCTGATTAATATGTCTGATACACGTTCCGTTACTTCTCCGGACTAAATAAAATACCTTCCCAATACACCGTTTTATGACCCCTGGTTCCCATTTTCAACCACCTTGATACCACTTTATAAGCATTTTCTTACCTACATTCAAGCTGTGAGTGCTTGCCCGATACTCGAGTACAGGTTTTATTGGGTGGATTTTCCTCCAAAACATCGATTCTGCTGGTGACTTTCCTTCTAGCACCACCGGGTTAGGCATGACTTTGAAAGTCATTAGAAATCTTCTGACCACCTGTATTGGGTTACTCTCTCTTTACCCCTTAATCAAAGCTCTTTTAATCGTATTGTGAATGTACACTACTAAGGAATCTTTTACAAAGACGAAACGGTCATCTAATGCTTTCAGTTTCTCAATGATTATCTAACTTTGATCAACTCATACTTTCAACTAGTCGAAACTTCCTACAATCTCGACGACGACCACCACCACCACCATCCACCCCCCTTCATTCTGTAATGAGGTTATTTATTAAAAAGGAGAACTATTTTTTTTTATTTATTTTGTATAAGCAATGGCATTAAATAAATTTTGTAATATATAATCTAAAATGAATTCATTATTATGATTGTTATGTAATATGATTGATTTAAAAAATATTTTAATACATAATTGTTTTAACCAATTTTTGTTTAAATGAATGAATTGATCATAGAATTTATGGATTAAATCATAACGTAAATGAATAGAGAAGATTGTAGATTGATTAATTGTAGGTTGAATAGAATCTATGAACAATAAAGAAAAAAAAAATGGATTCATCATTAGAATGCAAAACAGTAACTATTCTTTAATGTTGAATGTTCGGAGCTTTGACCGCGTTGGTGAATACGGAGGATTCACCTAGAAGAGTTGGGAAATCCTGATTCCAAACCCATGAAATCCAGGATCCTGAGGAAACAAATGGCGTATGAACCAATTATTGGTCGTCGGCTACCATGAGACTACATCGTTTAACGTTGCTCCACTGTCTTGTGGATTAGACCTATAGGTCAAAGGCCTCGAGTGTGGCCCCCTAAGAAAATCATCTACTTCAGTTTAGGCACCTGGACAGTATCATAACCATCACATAAATCAAATGAGATTTGTGTGGTGTGTTTATTATGGAGTAGTCTCATACTAGAACGAAACGGTCGTCCAGAGAATTCAGGTTTTCAGTGCTAGTCTAGTATAATTAAAATAACCCCGACGTGCAATGTTTCATGGTGTAGTAGTAGGTTGTAAGAAAGCTAGAGCTGGCCAGACCAAAATGTGGCACAAATCCATTAAGTCACCGGCAATTGGACTGAGCCATGTTGGTAGATGTAGACTACCTGGTTGGGATTCGCGAGATGATAGCAATCGATGGTTAGGGACCTTAAGTAACATGGCTCAAAATCATTTGCAATGGCGAGGAGTGCATCCACTATCTGTGTGTTCTGCCAAATTCTAATCTTCTGAATTCTTCATGTCGCTATCTTTTTTTTCTCTTTTTAAATTTATTTCACTTGATTATACTCCTTCAATAACATATTCAAACCCTAATCTTTCACATTAATGCTTTTACTCTTACTAATTCTACCACTATATGATTTGAATCAACAACTGCATCTCTGTGTTAGTGTGGTATGGCAACTCGAACTGATGTACGTACGTACGAAGTTCTGCGTTGTGACTGACTGACTGATATGTCAAAGGCTCGGGGTATGGCCTCCTAAGAAAACCACCTCATTCAGTTTGGGCATCCGGTCAGGATCATAGCCCACACACAAATCAAGTGCTTTGTGTGTTGTATATGTATTTGGTTCTTTTCTGTACTAATATTTATGTGTTCAAATAAATAGATGAATAATAAATCGTTTTCTATATTTGATCGTAAATCATGTATCTGGTATGATGTGATTCAGCCTTTGTATAGCCTATCGATTGAGTATCCCCTCTAGTGGTTTTATACTCCCAATTACCGGTTGTGCTATCATATGTTAGTAGTATAACATAGCAAATGAAAAGTATTTCTATTCGACCGTTATATCATTAGAGTTGCTCAGTATGCTTACGTTCTCTACCCTTACTCTTTTCCTGTCATCTTGTTTTGTTTATTTATTTATACTACTTATTATTATTCAGTACATATTTGTATATTACAGCAATTTCTACGCATGTGCTGTGGTGCAAATTATAACACTTACTACACTAATCATTATAATTACTGTCTCTCAATCTCTGTAGCAGCTATTCGCCATATTTTATGGTTTTTCAATATCGAAGCAATAAGCATAGGATATACATATGCCAATAAGTGACTGATCAATTACAGTCCAAATAAACAATACGAAAATGAATTTAAACTTTACCAAATTGAACAACCTAGTGTCTATCATAACTCAGTAGTTAAGTGGACAACATGATTGAGTTTGAAGCGAACGGTATTGGGTCGTGTCCCAGAATGAATATCAACTCTGAGATAGAGGTTCATTCGTCTGACGAGTCACGAATAGGACTAAACACACGTCAAATTGGATTCCACTACTAGCTATTATCCATCCTTTTTTTGTAATCCTTGTGAATGAAGGAAATATTAAAGTAATACGCACAGTATGCACATATGTTAATACACGACTGATCAATTGCAATCCTAATTATCAATGGCAAGATTCAAATAAAAAATCCTTTATGAATTAGTTTAATCTTTGTTTAAACGCAACGGTTTCCATATTTCTTTCCTCTTGGTTATGGTTTTGCTTCTTGATAAACTGTTATCAGGATTTGACACAGCTATCAGCTGTCGTTTGCACTATCGTACGTCATAGTTATATCTTATGTTTTTATTCCAAGAAGCCCTTATTATTTCAACCTTACAGATGTGTTGAACGCCGCATATGTCTTAAAAGTTGATATTTATAACTAATTTATACATATTACTCAATAAAGAACTACTTCTTAGACAAATCACTGTTTCATGAACTTCGATTTTGGGTTTATCTCAATCATGTCATTGGACACTTTGATAGATTCAACATTAGTAATGAACAAACTTTACGAGGTTTATGGAAATGACTTTTGATTCTAAATATATCTTAGTATTACTTTCATAATTCACATCAGTTGAACTTTCCAATTAAAACACTACTGAAATACAAAAACTTAGAAACAGTTTAGAAGTTTCCCTTTTGATAACATTGACGAAAAGAGAAGATAATGAGAATGAATTTTTAACTAGGAAAACTAGAGGTTAAGCGTATGCGCGCGAGACTGATAGATCCTAGGTTCGAATCCTGCTATAAAGTTCATGGATGCACACTACTGAGGAATCCTTCAGTAGGACGGAACGGCCCGCCAGTGCTTTCAAGTTTTCAGTGGTGGTCTAGCTTTAATCATTGGCGGCCTGCTTAAACATCTGGGCTACCTGTTCCTGTCATCTAGATATTTCAACAACTTATCTCATTTCGTTTGTTTTAATACATCGTTATAGCTATTTATCACACAACCTATTCAGGTACGTTTCTCAAAAGTGTAAAACTTTTCGCTGTAAAGGATACAAAAGACCTACTCAGAGGTATCATGATTGCTGACAATATGCAGCGAAAACAATGTAGATTATTCAGATGTCGATAGACTGGACCGCTAACATCTAACTGGCGATCACTGAATATTTATCGTCAGGATCGATGAAGAAGTAAAAAACGAAAACTCAATGAAATAATTTGTGGATGCGCACTGCTGAGGAGTTCCACAATAGCACAAAACGGCCGTCGAGTGCTTCCAAGTTTTCAATGGTAGTCTAGCTTTAATTGACTAATGAATTCAACTATTAAATTACTAAAATCTTTACCAAAACCCCCTTTCTGGTAATAAAACTTAACTCACTTAAATTATTTGCAATAAATATTTTAAACTTTATATATTCCATTTCTTCTTTATTTAAATTAAAGTCAATTAAATATTGAATCAATGAAATACCCATATCCAATGAATCATGATTATTAAGCATAGGACTTAATATAGGATTTACGAATACATCATTACTTTCATTTAGATTATTTGGTTTTTGATTTTCATTACGAATGGGACACTCGATTGTCTGTTTGTCATCAAAGTTTTGGTTTATATATTCCATTACATGAATATAGAATAAGAATATCCAATTCGTATTAGTCAAATCAATCTAGAATGTAAAAACAACACAATTATTTTGTGGATGTTTTTTGACTACTTATAAGTAGGTTAAATGAATAAGTGAAATAAAGAGAAATTGTTGTAAATTATAAATAATTCAATTTTGAAATTAGTTTAGTACGACTTAACAGCATCTGACCACTCTATACTTTACACTTTGATTTCAAGCTTCCTAGAAAAATCATGAATTCCAGAATAATTATATCTCATCATCGGTAATAGGAATGCCGTAGTTTAAGTGGGTTTTATCCTGACGTAACATTTCATGGAAGTATAATCCTAACATGGTAGCTGAAATATGGTTGGAATTTTTAAAAAACTATATGGGTGTCTTAATAAGAAGGATTTGAAACTGTTCTAAATGGATTTTCTTTCTGTTAACTTTAAGTCTAATATTTTCTATGGGAAAATATATTTGTAAAATCTCAGCGACTGAATTTTAAGTAAATCCTACGTTTCGCTCGCCAATCTGGTCTACTCTGAGATTTTACAGTTATATTTCTCCTCCTTCATGTCTTACATTAACTGAGCACCCAATTACTATAAATCTATTAATGTTCTCCAGTTGACCTGTTTTTGATGATCACATTAAATGCAAGTCCTCATATCTTATCATTTTGGTATATCTTTATCAGTTCATCTAGTCCTGTGAAGTTAGGTATATTGATCATTCGATGTGAGTTTAATCTAAGAGAGTTCACCAAGATTAACCTACATGGCTTAAGAGACAACACAAGTGGGTACATTAGAAATATACATCAACAATCAAATACAGAACTTCCACATCTAGAAACCGATAGGTCATATAAATACTTCTAAGTTTAAATCTAACAAGTTACATTTTGTTGTAATATCTCGATAGTTTATTTATTTTCAATCTTCTTGAACATATATATATTGGTACAAGGGGGCATCAGATACATATGCACCACACAAATCTCATTTCATTTATGTGAGTGCTATGATACTGCTCGGGTGCTCAAACCGAAGCATGTGGTTATTTTAGGGGGCCACACCATGAGCCTTTGATCTAAAACTCTGATCCACAAGGTAGTTGAGATACATAAGGAGATACAGTTCATGGCAGTCGGTGAGCAACAATAGGGTCATACTCCATTTATTCCCTTAGGATACTGCAGCCCATGTGTACCATTTGTTAGGAATCAAGGTTTTCCAACTCCTCTAGATGGACTTGCCGTGTCCACCGACCCGGTTAAAGCGCCTGACATTCGCTTTTCGTCCTCTCGATTTCATAAACAACAGTAATGCCACGAGAAGGTAATAAGTAGGATTTCTCTGTCAATGGCTATATAAAAATGGCCATGTGAGAGCATTTGGAGAGGGAGAGTGGACTCTCCCTACTGCCGACCGTACCAGGTCATTTGGGGGCTATCTCGCTAGTGCTTAATGATCATCCTATATAATCAATGATATCTATAATGGCTACATATTTGAATTATACCTATCTAAAGTTCTTATCAGAAATACATCTTGAACAAAGTATTAAATGAATATACATAATATTCATAATGAAATCTACCTTCATCAAATTGAACTAATTCAAAATCCATCTAATTCTTCCACTGGGAAGGCCGTAATTAGGACTTTCTTGATAGACGCTATATACGCTTGGCTATATGAAAGTATTTCGAAAGGTAGAGCGAATTCTCCCTACTCTCTGCTTTCAAATTAACCTAATCCAAAATTCATCTTATTCTTTTCAACATTCATTTATTCTCAGAAGGGATTTTGTGGAGATTTTTAGTAATTTATAGAGTTAAGATCATTAGTCAATTGAAGCTAGACCACCATGAAAAACCTAGAAGCACTGGACGGCTGTTTCGTTCAGTGCTTCCAAGTTTTCCATGGTAGTCTAACTTCAATTGACTCATGATCTCAATTCATTTATTCATTCATTTAAGCTTACCTTATTTGTATTATCTTTTAAATTCATATTATCAATTATAAAATGATTTAATATCCATTCAATCATATTCATCATAATTTTGATACCAATTTCTATTTTATTCCATTCATTTAATTTAACAAAATAATTCCATTTTATTTGAGTAGTATATTTCATTGATTTATTTTCTTTAAATAAGTAGTCTAAATAGAAATTTTTATTTAAATAAAAGTTGTGTTATTATCTTGATTGATAGACATTAAAGGATTATTTATTTTAAATAAAAAAGGCGAACTACTCGACTACTTGAACGATAGAATCCGCAACGTCGTAAGAGAGAGAGAGAGAGATGACAAAGACTGGTAAGTAGAAAGTTTATTCCTTAAATCAGTGTCAAAATATAGCACGGAAATCTTGTGTATTTCTAGTTTTTTGGCTGAATGTAAATCATCATTTAGGTTAACCAATAGGCACATAGGGGTAATGCTAATCCATTCAATGGGGAAGCTACACGTCGATATTCTAGAACATTCCTCTAGAAGTGATTGGATAGAATGTCTTTGGCTCTTTCTGGGCTTCTTAGAGCTTCCTAAAGTCTACCGACGAGCCGTCCTTACAAACTATTAATTGTAATTGAAATTATGAATTAATTAAAGCTAGACTATCATGGAAAACCTGAAAGCACTTGATGGCCAATTCATTTTATTGTGGGACTCTTCAACAGTGACTAGCTTCAATAGGTATTTCCTGGAGTTCTAGTGAGAAGCAATAACCAGTGGATTTCAACCAAGTCTGTTGTGAGATATCAACTCACTGAAGATATTGGTGAATAGTTGCTCAATTTTGTGGATTGGTTGAAGTTAGATAATAACACCGTTGGATACCGGCCGTTTCTTTGGTCTAGTAGTTAAGCGATCGAGCACGAGACTGATATGTCCTGGTCACGAATCTCGCGAGTGCGGGATCGTTGACTATGCACTGCTTAGTAGTCCCACAGTAGGATGAAAAGGTCGTTCAGTGCTTTCAGGTTTTCCATAGTGGCCTAGCTTCAAAATTAACTCATGATTTCAACTATATAAAAATTACTAAAATCTCCACAAAGCCCCGTTCTGATACTAATTGTAGTTCTGATGATGATAATAATAATTGATGAGACTATAATTTATGGATGACCTTTGAGAGACGTTAGACTAACCTTGGGAAAGTTCACTTAATAACTAAATGATAGTTATAAACCAGTGTGAGAAATTAGAATTATGATTTACAGTTGATAAGTAAGTATTAGATTCAAAGTTTTCCATACGAACTGACATCAGTTTAAATGTTGAAACTTTATTTATTCGAATGGATAAATAAATCTCGCGCCAAAATCCAAAACTTGTATTCTTATATCTGATTCTTTCGCTCATACATGATAGTCTCGCCTAATAATAATTGTTATTATAACTGGAGAACTATGATCAGTTGTCTTTTGATAAGATGGGGTAATTGATTCAATAATATAATAATGGTTACACTAATAAGTCTGTGAGTAGTGACCACTGTCATATTTGTTTATTCTTTTTAGAAATGATATGACATATAGTCTAAGTGACTCAACACTCTATGCACCGTGATAATGTTCCATGGTTGGATGTAAAGCATAGGAAACCGAAAACTCAGCTTTACTATTAGTTGATTGACCTAGGTTCCAATCCCTAGAAGAACGTCAGTTCACTCAAGATTACAACTCTCCTTGTTAATGAGTGCCAACTATCATGAAAACTTGATCTGGAGTTTTTCTTTGAACGACTACAATCATGAACTATATTCTGATATTGTCAACATTTACAGGTTGATAATACTTTGAATGGTAGCTATTATTGAAATCCAGTACTTGTGTTTGTGTAATTTAAGATTTTAACAGTTGAATTCATGAATCGATCTAAGTTAGACCACCATTGAACAACTGTTTAATTCTAGTATGAGTTACTCAATAGTTCGCATCCATGATTCCACACGTAAGACTCGAACCTAGACCTTCAGTCTCACCCTCAGATGCTTAACCGTTGAATACTTGCTCAATAGTCTATAGGTTAAGCATTCACGCGAGAGATCGAAGATCAAACAGTCATTCAATACTCCTAACAATAAATACTCCCTCATTTCTGATCATTCATTTATTATTCTATCAATCAATAAACATACCTTCTTGGAAATTATTCAATAAATTTGTGTAATAATCTTTTGTTACTAACCAATAATTTAATAGATATATCATATCTTTTCTATATATATCCTGTTGATCAATATTCATTGGATAATCATAATTATTATATAATTTTAAATTAAATTTTTCATTTAAAAAATTTGGCGCCATATTTTTAAATTTAAATTGTTGTTCAATAAAATATTGAATTGAATCATTTAAACAAAATGAGTAATCAATTGATTGATTTTTAATTTGATCATTGAAATTTTTATATTTTTTTGAATTTTGATTAATTCTACTTATATGATTATTAGTAGTAGTATTTGTTATTAAATCATTATGATGAATAGAAAGATTTAATGGATAATCATTATTTGATGTAGTATCCATGGTAACTATAGTGGAATTCATTGTTGATATAAAGTTTTTATTATTATTATTATTACTGGGTTTTCTTGGTCCACGTTCATGTTGAACACCTAGAAATATAATAAATATATGACGTAACAATAAGGATTAGATATTCTTGGAAAAGTTTCCATTTGAAGTTAATGTAGATCTTAGATATCTGAACTCTAAGTTCTAAAAGGTTCTTTATTCAATGCATCATGCTTGAATAAAATACCTTTTCTTTGTTTCTTAATCTTTAATGATTGTTAAGCAAAGATGGATAGTGGCTAGCAGTGGAATTCAGGACGCGTGTCTCGTCAGCTGGATGTACCTGCATCTCAGAGTTGATGTTCACTCTGTGAAAAACTCGAACCCTGTACCTTTCGCTTCAAACGCCACTTGGCCACTGAGTCCTGATAGCCACTTCCTTGTGCAATGTGGTGAATAACATTACTTAAACAACAATCATTGAATTTACTTAGTATTGTTTGTCTGGATCTTCCCATTGATGTTTTTAGGACTGCAACTGGTCAGTACATCCAGGTGACGAGTCTCAAATAAGACGAAATGCGCGTCCTGTATTCCATTGCTAGACACTATCCATCTCTGCTTACCATGCTTGTGAATTAAGGCTATATCTAGGCAATACGCACAGTATGCACATATACCAATTAGAGACTGACCAATTGCAGTCCTAAAAACATCAATGGGAAGATCCAAACAAACAATACTAAGTAAATTTAATGATTGTTGTTTAAGTAAGGTTATTCAGTGAAGTAAATCAACTTCAAACTGATATCTTTTATTAATCAGTATGAAGTTATAAAGGATTATTCAATTTTATTAAAATCACAAATCAATCTTAGTTATCAGAAGAAGGTTTTGTGGAGATTTTAGTAATTTTATGTAGTTGAAATCATGAGTCGATTGAAGGTATATTACCATGGAAAACCTAGAAGCACTGAACAGCTGTTTCGTCATATTGTGGGACTCCTCAGCACTGGGCATCCACGATCCCGACTAGCGAGATTCGAACCCAGGACCTACCATTCTCGCGCGCGAGCGCTTAACCACTAGACCACTGAGCCGGGCGTTATCCAACGGTGTTAATGTCTAACTTCAACCAATCCATGAAACTGAGCAACACATCCACCTTTGTCTTCAATCCAGTGCTTTCAGGTTTTCCATGGTGGTCTAGCTTCAATTGACTCATGATCTCAACAATCTTAGGTAGACAACTATTGAAAACCTGATAGTACTAGATGGTCATTCTGTACTGGGTTTGTATAGTATTTGTAATATAGATATGTTAAATGAATTTAATTGTATGCTCATTTTATAATATCCGATTTAGCATATGACTATCAAATAAATTCTTTCAACTCTATTGGTTAATCTGTGCCCAATTATCTTGTGGTGATCGATATTCAATATTATCCTTAAACTTCGTATATTGTTCGTTCTGATAACCGTTACTCGATAACGTCCTAACGGTGTATAAATCAGAAGGCGAATACGAAGGGTTGATTACGTTTATTATTGAACCACACACACAGATATCCAAAATTACAGGTACGTTAAGCAAGCATGAAAGAGTGGTGCCGTAAAGCAGGCGAGTGAGCGTAAGAGTCGAATGAGCGAGAGATCAATCGACTGATTAAGCGAGTACAGTACATTGCAGTGAACAGCATTAATATGTACATATATACAAATGGAAAAACATGAATCATTGAATCAACTAAGTGATTAATAGTAAGGCTAGCAGAATGAATACATGCGTAGACAGTAAGTAATGCTCAAGCGTACATAATAAAGGTACAATAGTATAGATAGGTTGTTGTTGTTGTTGTACGAATGACTATCCGTTAAATAAGTTAACAAAAGGGCTTAGCCAAATTAGATGTAAACAAACTTAATTTTATGTGAGCTGCTGCAATCTGATTAATTCAAACCTTTTATAAGTGGATCTATTCGATATTCATTTGTCTGATTGCCTCTCTCCATTTATTTGTCAATTATATTCTATTACTGTATTGATGTATAAATACTTGAAGCATGTTGGCTAATTCATACTTTATAAGCAAAGATGGATAGTAGCTAGCAGTTGGATGCGAGTTTCGTCCTATTTGGGACTCGTCAGCTGGATGTACCTGCATCTCAGAGTTAATGTTTACTCAGGGACTCGAACCCAGTACCATTCGCTTCAAACGCTATCATGTTGTCTACATAGCTTATTGATTAAGGCGGAAGAGAGGAAGGTCTAAGGACACACTTCGTCGGGAAATGGAAGCAGATATGAAAAGGATAAATAGCAACTGGAAATGATTGTCCAGGACAAGGTTGGATGGAGAGTTCTGGTCGGCGACCTATGCTCCTCCGGAACGGGTAACAAGCGTAAGTAACTAATACATACGAAGAAAATGTAACTATGAAAAGAATAAAAATACTATAACAAACACAATAAAGAAATAAATGTACAAATGGATGAGATTAATATTTTGTTGTGATAAATAAACGTCGTCCATTACAGCGCATTTGTCGTACGAATTGTTAAATATTAATCAAACTACTTTATACTATTAAGTAGTATAGAGATAACGTAAAAGGAACAGACTTGAGGTGAAATTAAGTTCGAGAATGAGAAGTTCTAGCAACGAATAGTATATTTTAGATCGAGGATCTGTTAATTCCATTACTGGCTATTGTATGCAAATAGAGGGAATATACGAATACTGTAGACTAACTGCACTAGTGTAATAGTTAATTTGAAAATGACAAAGAACACAGTAACAGTTCTTTTCCGAATCGATTACAATTTGTATTTGATATACCGGGTAAGCATCGTTGAGTCATCAGTGAACCGCTGTAAGTAAGTTACCTATCTAGCTAAATTCATTACTCAGATACTTCTGTATGGAATAGTCCGGTATGTTGAAGAGTCTCAAAAATAGAATAAGATCCAGCTCCATGACGTTTTTGATGTAAGTTTGTTCTCTGAGCCCGATGGTTTGGTCGTGGACCTTTCATCGTCCTTCAGGTAGAAGTTTCTGCTGATGACGTCGTTTAAAAGGACGATAAAAGCTCCACGAGAAAACCATCTAGCTCAGAGAACAAACCTGTATCAAAATCAGTTGCATTTAATCATATAATTAACTACATTTGATACGACATTCTTTTCAAGTTTGCCAATAACAGAAGTTCAATCAGGTGAATTGTTGTTACTCTCATAAATAATTAGATGTTTTGATCCGTTCGTTCTTAATATAATGATGATTAAGCCTTTAGAACATTCAATTCTATATCAGAGACTAAAGGTTTCGAACTTTGTCTTTACTTATTTCAGTCTGGATTCTCAGCAAACTTTACATATCATGGTATGACTCAAAGCAGATTTGATCAACTTTAACTTAGTCATGGAGTTGTTTAGAAACCACCTTATCATATTTTCTGGATGGTTTTTTGTTACGGGTCGATATCCGTTAGAAGACATGTAACATCGGGTAACTATTCATTTAATTGCCATAGTAACTTTCAATATAAGAATAAGAACACCCCCCCCCCAAAAAAAAAAAGAAAAAAACGCACACTTACTTTCTTCATTCATCTGTGCCAGAAAACATTTATTTAATCGACATGCACGACAGTGATTACGATGATGACGATCAATGGTACATTTACCTTTTAAATTACCACTTGCTTTACATGTATATGAACGATTCTTGTGAATACTTCTTTTAAAAAATCCGGAACATCCTGATGAATAGTAAGTAAAAAATGGAAATGATATTGAATAGAATATGAGACAAACTCAGCATTATTTACATTCACTTTGTATTGTTTGGTTGAATCTTGCCATTGATGTTTAGGATTGCGATTGATCAATCACTCATTGGCATATGTGCATACTTTGCGTATTGCCTCGATATAGCCTTAATTCACGAGCACTTTAGGAAAATATGGACAGTGGTTAGCAGTAGAATCAAGTTGGACACCCGTTTCGTTCTTTTCGGGACTTGTCAGCTTAATGTACCTGCATCTGAGTTGATATTTACTCCAGGAGTCGAATCCAGTACCATTCTCTTCAAACGCTATCACCTTATCCACAATATGCACATATGCCAATTAGAGACTGGTCACTTGTAGTCCTAACACATCTATGGGAAGATTCAGACAAACAATACTAAGTTAATTTAAACTTCACCCCATTGCACAAGCAGGTGCCTATCATGACTCAGTAGCAGAGTGGATAACGTGATATCGTTTGAAGCAAACGTTACTACAGTCGAGTCTTAGAGTGAACATCAACTGTGAGATGCAGGTACATACAGTTGACGAGTTCGAAATCGGAAGAAACGCGCGTCAAACTGAATTCGACTGCTAGCCACTATCCATCTTTGGTTAATATTATTTGTTTGTGAGAAAAGAAGTATAATGTAGGGTTATACTAGTTAAGGTTTAAATTTGTTAACCTTTAGGGCATCATATCCAAACTATTTGGTCGGATAAATCAAGTTTTATTTAAATGATGTTGATAATTTCCTTAAGTAACTATAAAGTGTATTTTAATGTCTAGTGTATAAAGTCGAACGTCATCCTCCTTTCGGCCACATTAACATTGTGAAGCCTAGTAGGCCCTTCTGGAGAAGAATACTACATCAAAGCAAGGCACAACCACCTGGGCTCAATAGCTTTTTTGCATTGTTTGGGCAGAATCATTACATCTTTCTTTCTTGGACGGGTCTTTCTGATTTTCTTTCTTTTTTCTGGGCAGACTCATTCTTTCTTTCCTTTTGAACAAATAATAATTGTGCAATTATTCTTTGTAGCCTTCGTAATCATTTGTTGGTATATGTAGAGTGAATGATTAGGCCGATCTCCACCACCCGAGTTACCGCTGACGTTAGTTTATAGAAACAGTCCCACTATCCAGGAGGTACAACAAGGACGTGTAAGTCGCGTTTCGCCTCCCATAAAATCGAATGTGGTTAATGTGGCACGGGATCGAATTGTTCAGGGAGTATCAGTCCCCTTAAGATTACAGGTACATCTTGCTGTTGTTTGCCAAATAGCATGAAACCTGTGTCTAGAGTTTCCTGTTCACTACCTTCAACCATCATCATCATAGTGCACTCAATGTTAAGTCACCTAGCCTAATAGTCACATTGCAACTTGATCGATTGGATTCCATCTGCAGTAAGAAGGACCTGACATATATGATATTGATCACTGAACCTTTTTTTATCAATGAACATGACATTAGTATTCATCTCATTCAATTCAAGATTTTTTTAACGAGTAACAAACAAAATAGTCGGAAAATTTGTATTTTAAAAAAAATGGGTAAAGACAATCATAACTCACCATCACAGCTATAGACTCCATAATGTTTTCCGGTAGAACGATCACCACAAACAACACATTGAATATTAAGTAAACGATAATCTAGAAATTTTTAAAAAAAAAATTGGAATAAATAATTTATAGATCATTTTGAAACCCTCATAGTTGAAATCATGAGTTAAATGAGGCTAGACCACTATGGGAAATCTGAAAGCACTGGACAGCCGTTTCTTCCTATTATGGGACTCCTCAACAATGCGCATCCAGTGGTCTATCGGTTAAGTGCTCTGGCACGAGACTGGTAGGTCCTGGGTTCGAATCTCACGAGTGCGAGATCGTGGATGCGCACTGTTGAGGAGTCTCACAATAGGATGAAACGGTCATCCAGTGCTTCCAGGTTTTGCATGGTGGTCTAGCTTCAATTGACTCATGATTTCAACTATGAAAATACTAAACTCTCCACAAAATCCCTGATCCATTTTAAAATCATTAACTGGACAGTTGTTTCATTCTAGCATGAGATTCCTCAGCGATGAACATCAATGACCGAGGATATATGTTATCCAGGGATCAAATATCTAGCAGGGAACGCTTTCACTTCAGACCACCAAGCCAGTACTTACGTATGCTTTTAAGTGGTTAGTTAACTTACATTGGTTTTTGGTTTCTACATTTTTCCAAAAGCCCTCCCCTTCTATGCTGAGGATTTGTGGATAGTTGCATACTTGGAACACGTTTTTCTTTTCATTAGAACCGTCATTGATTAAAAGATCAATAAAGGTAACAGATTATGAGCAGTTGTATCATACTAACTCTCAGAAGTTTCACCAACCTGTAATCAGTGAGTCAGGATCATATGATTAAATAGTCGAATATACGATGTTTACTGTTTGAATTTGTCAATTTCCTGGGTCTATGAAATAATCCGTGAATGCTTCCATATAGATTAAAATAGTTTTTCCAAACTTCAAATGAATCACTCTTGTTCGTACAGTATTACTGTAGTGAACAAGAACACGAGTGGGGACAATTGAATGTATTTAAGCACAAATTACAGACTATCTCACTAAAATCTGATAACCATACAGTAAACAGTTAATTCGCAAAATAACAATCCATTGTCTCAATCTTCACTGTTCCTTTTGCAAATATCAATCTATCCTCTCTAATTTCATTATTTATGCGTTTTGCAACCAATTACGCTTCACTCCTGTTCTTTCCTTATCGATCTTCGGCTGAAATACATTCTATGTCTGACAATCACCATATACTACTTATATGGATATAAGTAAACCACATCACACTCGTCCCCCCTTAAAAGCATTTGTTCATGTTATGGTTCTGCTCACCAAGCCACTTTCTTCTTTCACTGCAGTCTGTGCCGAAATCTCCGTCAGAATGTCGAGACTACGGTGCGCTGACCTCCATAGCTCCGTCGACCTGCCGCAGCAGCAACATCCGCATCCACCTGGAATATGGGACGTTCATACCCGTACAAGTATATTGTCAACTTTAATATGTTCTTCAAATGCTTATAGAATCTTGGGCTGACATATATTCTTATAAAGATCTTTATGTTATGTACATTACGTAATCTTCTAAGTAAATCTTCCTCTAAACTTCTATCTACTTTTTCTTCAAGGTTTTAATGTTGACGAAGACTTTTAATGATTAAGAAGTGGACCTCTATGAGTTCTAGTACAACTTTTATATTAAGTACCTACTATAGTTTCTATAATCTTACGTCTTACATCAGCTTACAACTATCGTTTATGGATAGTGGCTAACAGTGGAATCTAGTTTGAAGCTTATTTCTCGTTATTTCGAACTCCTCAACTGGATGTACCTGCTCTTACAGTTGATGTTCACTCTGGGACTTGACTGCTTTAAACGCCATCAATTTATCCACACAGCTACTGGGTCCTGATAGCCACCTGCTTGTGTAATGGGGTGAAGTTTAAATTCACTTGATGTTGTTTCCTTGTATCTTCCCATTGTTATTCAAGACTGTAATTGATCAGTCTCTTATTGGCATATATGTATCATGTGCAGACTACCTCGATATTGTCTGAAGTCACAAGCTTTTTAAGCAAAGATTGTTAATGACTAACAATGAAATCATAACTATCATTTATTCTATTCAACTTTAGAATCATAATTTAGCATGATATAAACAGAAAGTATCTCTTGAGGCAGGATCGTGAATGCTCACTAATGAGGAGTCCCATAATATAACAAATCGACAGTCCAGTGATCCTACAAGTTCTCCGTAGTGATCTATCTTCAATTGACTCATGATCTCAACTATATAAAATTACTAAAATCTCCACTTAAACCCCCCTTCTGATATTAAAGAAAAAAGTAAAAAATGTATCCATGTATGTATCATTGTCAAAATACATTAAAATATAAAGGTTTTTTTTTGTATTTTTTTTACATTATCCACTATCTAAAGAAAAGATGTATCCATGTTGAATTGCTTCAATGTATCCTTTCTACCCCTTTCCTCTCTCTCTCTCTCTCACTCTCCCCCTCACTATTTAATTCAATAATGAAGTCACTTTTATTGACATAAAGAAAAACAGTCGAAAATGGAAAAGAAAAAAAAAACGAAGAATGTTCGACTGTTTGTTTTTTTTCTCATGGAAAGTTTCTGGGTAGACTTTTTCTTTTTTCTTACCTATTTAGAACAAAAAAAAACTGTCTATTCAAATCGTTTAAGACAAATACACGCACACACACACACCCTCCCATATACACATACATACAATTAGAGTGAAATTGAGGAGAATAGATGAAGCTCTACTTAAAATGATATCATACAAGATAACAGTAGTAGTAGTAGTAGTAGTCGTAGTAGTAGTAGTATAAGTAGTATTATAAGTAGTATCAATAATAGTAAATCATTGTAATGTATACTTGAAAGTAGATGTTTTCTATTCTATACACATCTAATATGATATATCTAAACATAGACAAAACTCTCCTCAGAATGATATAAGATAACAGTAATAGTAGTAGTATTAGTAGTAGTAGTAGTAGTAGTATAAGTAGTTTTATCAGTAGTATCAATAATAGTAAATCACTAAAGTAGATGTTTTCTATTCTATACCAATCTCATATGATATAAGTAAACATAGATAGATTACTTTTTAATTGTTCTTATCATTTTAACCACACACACACACACACACCACTACCACCACCCCCTCCTCCATCTTTCGTTTCTCTCCTCCCCTACCATTTTGCGGGATTTTTCTTTTTAAAAAAATACTACTTTTATACTCATCATTTTAATCCCCTTTCGCCAGTTATTCAACTGTCTGTTTTTTTTCAATATTCAATTTGTCCTTAACTTACAATAAGTATCACTTAAGAAAAAAGAAACTGGATTTTTTTTAAAAAAAAAGATTTTTCTCTTTTTTTTGTTTTTTCTCTTTTTCTTTTCTCTTTTTTCTTTTTGTTTTTTTTCTTTTTCTTTTTTCTTTATAAAATATTATGATAACATGAATAGACATGAAATTACTTAAACAGTTAAGAGTAAAGTGAATAAGTGAATTACAATTATGTAATTAACTTTAATGTAATAAAAAGAAAAAAGAAAAAAAAAGGGGGGGAGAAAACTAAAATCGTGTGAATATAAACCATATGGAATGTGAAAATGTGAAACAACGAAACAGAAACATTTTTTTTTTACAAATTGAATGATGTAATTGTTTTAAATGAATATTCATGTTCAATTTGTTGATAGAAAAACAAGGAAAAATTAGACATTTTATGTATGTTTTGTGGTATATATACCGTTGTATGGTCTATTTATATCCATATAAGTAGTATATGGTGTTGGTCAGAATGTATTTTCACAGAAGATCGATGAGGAAAGAACTGAAACGAAGCGTAATCGGTAGGAAAATGGACGAACAATGGAATTAGAGAAGAAACAGTGAAGATCGAGACTATTGGTAGTTAATTTGCAAATTGACTGTTCATTGTTTGGTTGTCAGAATTTACTGAGATAGTCTGTAATTTTTGCTTAAATACATTCGATTGTCCCCAGTAATGTTCTGTTCACTACAATACTACTGATATTGACAGATATAAGTGATAAGCTAGACCATCATAGAAAACCTTGAAGCAATGGACGATCGTTTCGTTCTAGTGTGGGACTCTTTGGCAATGTGGATCCTTCTCTTGTGGATTGGTTAAAGTTAGACATTAACACTTTTCAATGTTGACTCAATGGTCTAGAAGTTCAACGCTCACATACGAGACCAAAGGTCGTTAGTTTGAATCCCGCGCATCGGATCGTGGTTGCACGTTGTTGAGGAGTCCCATACTAGGATGAAACAGTCTTCCATTGCTTCCAGGTTTTCCATGGTGCTTTAGCTTTAACTCAACTATTGATCGAATTCCGAAATAACCATCTTAGGCTTGATAATCAAAAGTGACTCTAAAACATAACAAGATAGATTGAACTATGCCTGCTATTACTCACACTGCAAACACTTGGTTTGATTTATTTGTTTATATTTTTATTTATTTGAACACAGAAATATTGGTACAAGGGGGCACCAAATACATATGTTTCATACAATAACAATAAGGTCAGTAGCAGTTATCATTCCATTTGTGTGAGGGTTGTGATATTTCCCTGGTGGCAAAATCGAGGCTGGTGGTTTTCTTAAACTATTCCCTGAGCCTTTGACTTGAAGGTCTAATCAACAAGATAGAGGAGCAACTTTAGGAGTAACCAGTCGCCAACGACAGGTTGATACGCCTTTTGTTCCTTCAGGATCCTAGAGCCCATTTACACCAATATTTTAAGATCAAGGTTTTTCAACTCCCCTAGATGGGTCCTCCATATTCACCAACCCGATTAAATTGTCAGATATTCGTTTTCCATTCTCTCAATTTCATTGACAACACCCCCTGTTGCAAGAAGGCATTGACTAAGACCTCTCTGACAGTGGTTGTATGCACGTGGCCATATGAGAATATTTGGAGAGGGAGAGTGGACTCTCCCTCTCTTTATTAAAGAGACAGTATGGCAATAACAGTTGAAGTGTTATTGTAACATAACAGATGTATGTATTTGGCGAAGA